CCACCTCTCCCTGTGCCTTTTTACGCCTAAATGAGTTCTGACCCGTGGGGGGTTTTTTTTCAGGGAAGGAGGCTGAGGTCAGTCGGACCTGCAGCTGCAGTTTCACACAGGCTTCCTAACGTGTAGGCGGTGCAGCTGAATGGACTGTACTTATATATCACCTTTCTGTCTTATCAAGACACTCAAAGCTCATTACAACAATCTGTGCCTCATTTACTCATTCATACAGCTCTATACTAGATCTCTACAAAGAATAATCAGAGCTTTATCACATTCATACACCGATGGGACACATATCGGAAGCAATGAGGGGTTCAGTGTCTTGCCCAGGGACACTTCAGCATGTGGCTGCTGGTGGAATCGAACCCCCAACTCTCCCATTGGAGGACAACTGCTCTTGCCTCTCAGTCACAGCTGCCCCCAGCTGAAGAGGATTATTATTTAATATAACTAAATAAATGTCTAAAAAATAAACTATTTAATAATAGTTTATTTTGCAGACATTTATTTTGTACAGTTACAGCTGTTTGTTAATAAATGTGCCTGTGTGACAGCTGGGACAAAGCTTTGACTCAGAAATATACTTTTGTTATTACTTTATGGAAAGAAAAAAACATTGAGATATATATCATATATCACAATCTATCTTAAAATATTGAGATATTAATTTAGGTCCATATCGCCCAGCCCTATGTCCAAGTGATGGACTTGCGACCTGTCCTGGGTGTCCCCCGCTTCTCGCACAATGACTGTTGGAGATAAGCACCAGTTCATTGCGACCCATAAAGAAAAGCAGGTAAAGTAATGGAAGGATATGTTATATGGCTTCCTGCCAGCTGTGAATGAAATTACCCTTTGGAGACAATGAAGTTACCTTGAACCTTGACCAAATCTTGTCACTCTCACACTCACTCCTCTGACTCACTCAGCACACTAGAAAGCTTCTGTGTAGCATCACTCTCACTTCTTCCTAATACTGCATTCTCCGGTGCACCAAGTAATAACACATGAATGCACACATCATTTTCTGTCACTTACACATGCCAGGTGCAACAGTGCCAAAGCTAAGACAAACACATCCAGCTTTTTCCTTAAAACCACAGCATAACCCCTTCACAACTGTGCTTTACCTTGATTTTCCATGACCAAATGCCCAGCAAAGAAAAAACACTAACTCTGCTCAATAACAGTGCAGGACGAACACCCACCCGCATGTTTTGTGTTTATGTGCATAGAACCTCACCTTCGTAACAAGGTGGAATTGTGTGTGCAGCAGTGCTGCATGGGTGGTAGTCTCACAGCAGTGGTTTGAGAAAATGACACAGCTGAGTAAAAATATCAATTGATTTGTGTGTACGTATCCGGAAGGTGTCCTGGAAGCAAACCAGGTGAGATGGGAGAAAAGTAAACAAAGCTAAATGACTAAAAATGCATGAAGAACTAAAAAAAAATACAAAAACAGGAAAAAGAGAGGCCTTAATAAAATAAACAATGTAGATATATGTAAAGGTCTAGTATTCTTTAAAGAAATACATATCGCCCTCCACCATTAATGCGAGTTTCAGACCAAGATCATTTTGTAATAAGAGATGGAGTTGAAGTTGTTTTGGTCAAACTTTGAACATGTCTTTATGTGTAATCTTTTTTTAATTCTAGGATGTCATGTTCATGGTGTTGTTCATGAGTGAGGGAAAAATGGAGTGTGAGATTGACAGACGTCGGTCAGTTGAGGTGAAGAGGGAGCTGAGCTGTAAGGCAAAGCTCTCTGTTTACTGGTCGGTCTACGTTCCTACCCTCACCTATGATCATGAACTCTGGGTAGTGACCGAAAGAATGAGATCGAGGATACATGCAGTTGAAATGAGTTTCCTTCGCAGGGTAGCTGGACTCTCCCTTAGAGATAGGGTGAGAAGTTCAGTTATCAGGAGAGACTCGGAGTACAACCGCTGCTCCTCCACATCGAAGGAGCCAGTTGAGGTGGTTCGGGCATCTGGTAAGGATGCTTCCTGGGCACCTCCCTAGAGAGGTACTTCGGGCATGTCCGACTGGGAGGAAATCCCGAGGAAGACCCAGGACACAAGGGAGAGACTATGTCTCATTTGGCCTGGGGTCCTCCCAAAAGAGCTGGAAGAGGAGGCTGTGGAAAGAGATGTCTGGACCTCCCTGCTCAAGCTGCTGCCCCGTCAACCCGACTTCGGAATAAGCGGAAGATAATGGATGTATGGTTATTCATGTCCAAGGTATCCATTATCCATTCTGCATGACTCAGCTACATCAAATTTTAGGCAAGGTATTTTTTGGTTTTTAAGGTCCGCTGGTTTTGGCAGAAGAAGAGAAAACTAAGATAGTCATTTGCACTTTGTCTTCAATACATGCTGAGATTGTTTTGTTTCATACATTCGGAACAACTTGAGCTCTGTTCAGCTGTGATCAGCTGGTGGGCAGTTCGGGTCAGTGAATGAATACCTTTGGAACAGGTTTTGCAACAGTGTCCTGGCAGCAGGACGGGATCATCACAGTCCAGCTCCGGGCAGTTCTGCTTGATGTTCTTACAGTTGACCTTCCCCACCACCTTACCACGACGACTCTTTTGCTACCAGAGAAACAGACACATTAGAAACAAAGCAGAACTGACTTAATAAAGTGCAATGTATGAGATTATGATAGCACAATAACTTTAAGCAAAAATACCATGGTTTCATAATAATAAAACGTTTTCAAAATGCAGCGCACAACTGCAATTACTAATAATATTGTTGTCTAAATAATATCAAATGTTGCTTGACAATTATTTTACAAGTATAATCACATAGTACTAAAATTTACCTAAAGTTATTTTAGGTTTGATGCACAGATACAAATAGGACAGATAACATAAGTGAACATGTCCACCAAGAGGTTGTTTCATTTATATTTCTAAAGTAGGGGTGCAGAAACCCTAACCGTAGAGTGTGTTCCAACTACAGGGGGATCAC